AGATTAAATTCATTGTCTAAAATCGTTCATATACACACTATAGAACATTTGGAAAAGTTGTATTTTAAAGTAGGTAATGGCGCGTTTCAAAGTATGTTACAGGCAATATAATATTAATAAATAAGACGTGACTAAAATATTTATATTTTGCTATTGAGCGTAGAATTTTTTGTTTATTATAATCCCTCTAAATTGATTTTTTTCATACACGCATGTGTTATTATGTTATATAATATAGTTCATAATACTTTTATATCACTAAAATGCCTTAATTACTTTTATTTAAATAATATAATTTACTTGATTTTATATCAGTATTTTATAATATCACAGTTTTTATTTTAACGGCGAGAATGCAAAAGTTTACTCGGTCGAATATTGATAATGAGTACTTAATGATTTTTAAATCTAATAATTTCATTCTGATTTCAAAACAAGTGAGATACTTAATTTGATTCAAGGAATTATCATTATAAGTACATATTATTTTGTATATTTTAACTGTATTTATACTTAAATTTTATTATTGAAAATGTAGAGAAAAAAAACTATATATTTGGTAAAATTTACGTAAGTCTATATTATTATTTGAACAGGATATTTTAATATAAAAAGCTTTTTTAGCATAAATTATTCAAAAGTTTTATTTTTTTAATTAAGCTTATCCATTTTTTTATAACATAAATTTGTTTATGTTAATTTTTTAATATTTTATACTTATTATTAATATACTACCTTTCAATCTACATACATAATTTCAAATATTTTAAAATTTCTTGTTTAATCATTAATAAATACTTCATAATATTTTAAAGCATCTAATTCGCCGACTAGCAAGAAAGCTGATAAGCAATATTATATTAAGATTTACTGTGATTACAGATAAAACTTAACTGCGAGTATTGTATAATTAGATATATTATATTATTATAATAATAACATTTTCAATCATTATTCAATTTTCTAATGTTTAATGAGTAACAATCAATGTATTCAATTTTCTTCAATGAACGCTTAAAAATTTTCACTTACCTATAAATATTTAATATAAAAAATAATTATTTTGATAAAGTATTAACATTTTTATACAGAATACACTGAGTACTATTTTTGATACTGCATACTGTAAGTAGTATCTGCTATACATTATTATATTGTTTTCGATATTTTAGGACTTACATTATAGTATATCAGTAAATTCTTCACGCCATACATAAATTATATTGTACAGTATATTATTGCTTATTATTGAATTCATAAACACATATTAATTTTAAAGGGTTAAATTATGTCACAATGTTTCTTGGTAATTGAACACCTGTTGTATCACATGACGCTAGGTATAGGTAATTAAAATGATATAGTGTTGGGATTGGCAATAGGCCTAAATATAATTTGAGAAATTGAAGTTGATAAATTTTGATTCATTAAATTGTATCAAAAAGAAATTATGATTTTTTTGTTTGTTCATAAAAGAAAAATTTTAAACTTAATTATTAAACACGTTACCTCATTAAAAAATGTTCGCGTGTCTACAAATTAAAGAGATATATCAAAGTCTAACGAATAAAACACCGTTAAAAGGTATAAAAAAAAAAATTATTATTATAGATTATAGAATTAAAATGATTATAATAATAATACATACAACAACATAAGTATCAACATAAATTAGTTTACGTTCTAATTGAACTTTTAGATTACGATACATTTATAAATTAATATCATTTCTCAGATGTGTAGTTCAACCTATAATTAATAGATAAAATAATACCTTACATGTAAGTACATATTAGTACCTTCATACATTACGATTAGTTGATAACCCTACAATACTATAACATATTTTATATAAAGTGTACAGGGTATTTCATTTAACAGCAAACTTTTTTTGTAATAAAAAATATTTACGTTTTTAAAAATAATCATTATACACATTCTGAAATCATTACAAAACAACATTTCATAAAGTTATAAAAGCATTTTTTTTTCATTACTATAAGTTTTTTAAGTTTTTAATTTTTTTAATTGCAATAAAATTTTTTATATCGTGTTCTATGGCACAATATTTTTTCAAAAATTTTAAACCAATTGTTAATTAATCACAACCCCATAGTTATTTAAGCTTTAGATAACCGAGTAGAAAACCAACATTTGCGGAATGCCGATGCAGTTCCACTCAACTTCGTTCATAAAATAATAAATACCTTTAAGTTATAACTGAATAAGTATTAGAATCTAGAAGTTTCAAGTTATAACTTATTATATAATGGTTTTAAATTTGATTTTTATTTATCAAAATTCTTAAAAAAAGTACTTTTCGAATTATCAATTAAAAATGTGTGTAATATGACGTTATCTGTTAAAAAGTAAGAATTTTGTAAAATTATATTATTAAAAAAATTATTTTAACGAGAATTCATTAAAAAAAATAAATAATTATCGAGATGAATGTTCATTATTAAGAATCACTGGATGACTCTGTATAAACTATAATGTTACACGCTTTTAAGATTCTAACGGTAAACTAAAATTATATACGATGGATGACATAATATAAATCATTGTCTACTGATTATTTTATAGTTATTATTTATATCGCTCTGTCATCATGTCTTCTATTTATTTATGTATACATATATATTATATTAAGCACAATTTTGGTGCAAAACACGACAGATACTTTATAATATTATTATCTATATTCTGTAAACTATTTGTATATTATGTTTCCAAAATTCGTTTAATTCGAAATATCGATAAATACGCAATTATAGTTATAAGTAAGGTACTAAGTATCTACATAATATGCAATAGTTGTTAACAATAATTATTTCAAGAAGTCATAAAATATGATCTTTTCTAAATAACTATCATGCAAGTTATTTTAGAAGTTAATCGCGTATAATAAAAACCATTTATTATTTACATAGTTTTTAATTTTCGTAGATACCTATGAGGGGCCATGCGATACGATGTTTTAATATCGTCATGAGCAATATACTGTATAAAGACCAAATTGCCAAAACGTGTGTGTACTGTGTATACATAAGATATACTGGAGTAATTTTCACGATATATTCTAATAGTTAATCGGAAATAAATAATAGGTATAGTATTAGATATTCTAATGAAAGAAAAAAACAATAATAATAAATAGTTGACGTTTAACGATTATTTCGGCATATGAAAATGCAATATTCACACAAATATATATTTAGCTTAACAAAAAGTATTAAACATAATATTTACTCAAACACGCAATGTCGTTAAACTAATATATCTATATATATATATAATTAATACTATTAATACGTATATTTAATTAACAACCTTATTACGCTCCTATTATTTCTTTTCAATAGGATTTCGATTTTGTTATTTTTTGGAGAAATAAATAATAATAAATAAATAATATTTAAAAATTTTTTTTGACAAAACAACGTTTACCGGGTCAGCTAGTTTATTTATAAAAATTGTAAATGATCACAAATTTGTTTAAATAAATATACTAATTATGTAAAATCGGATATACCTAATATGTTTATACTTATTGGCACACTATTGTTTATTATATTTTATTTTTATAAATTCACGTGAAATATTTCAAGTATCTTTTTCAAACATCTACAAAGAACGTTAAGTCTGTTAAGTCGTTACAGCGTTACAAATACGCATGACGTCCATCCGGTCGTCTCCCTATATAAAATCTTGATTTTATTACATTATTTTACCAAGCTCCACCGACGGATAACAATTGAGGTAATTGAATACGCGCTACGCGCCAACCTTGTTATATTATAATTTCATCACCTGGAAGGGCGAACGAAATTTTTTTATGTTGACTATTAAGGTTGTAGTAGACGTTTGTCGTCGAAATAATATGATAGCGATAATTTTCCGTTAACCGATTAGAATCTAAAAATGTATTATCAATGCGTACAGGTCACGACGTCATAGTAGCGTAATAGTATATAAAATAAGCAACAATAGTTGCTTTCTCATCAATTCTCTCTTTGTACCTATATATTGTATATATTTATAGTATATACTTATATTAGTAAATGAATAGCAAAGCTATAATTAGTCTTTGTATCTAGTTGTTTTATTAACAAATGCCAAATTGTACTTTTTTATGTATTTCTCAAGTTTGAAGTTATATTGGTTGGCTTTTGTATTCTAATAATGAATTTCATTTTGTGTAAAGTGTAATCAAAGTATTTTAAATGTTACACTTATGACGTATCTTTCTACGTTTTTAATATTGTTCCATAAAAATTTCTCCTGTAATATTCGTTGATCGTACAATTGGATAAATTCAGTGTCATTCATACATCATATTTTGACCTTCAACAGCTATAGTCATAGAATATTGAATTTTTTTAAGCCCACTGCATATTATATCAATTAAGTATCGTGAACAGCCGATTAGCTTTTTAGAGTCCATTACATAATATAAAATACTCACTTTGGCTTTCAAAAAAAATATATATTTTTATTTTTATTAATACATTTTCCCGACTTTTGAAAAATTAACTTAGGTAATACACATTTGAATATGGGAACGATCACGTTTGAGTCTATGTTTATTAAATTACGGTTATTCAGTCTGCAGTTTTGTGGACCGTTTGCATTGCAAGTGATCGACAACGCTTGAACATAGTTTCCTAAAGTATTTTTCGATCGATAGTTTATTAAAATGTGTATGGATTGCATCGTTTCGTACACACCAGTGAGCATATGAAATTATATTTAGGGTTTTAGAATTGTAAGACTGGTGCTTTTTTTTATGAGAGCACATTTTTTTCCGGGCAGAGATTACATACAACATAACAGTGGTCGGATTTAATACTTATACGAAATATTAACGAACATTTTTAGAGCAATAAAGTGTTAACGATTAATTTTAGTGGATATAATATTTTTAAGCAGTATATAATTTAAAACAAATCTGTGAGTGTTCAAAGGCGATAATTTCATGTGTCTAATTGTGGTTTCAGATTACAACCAGTTTAGCAGGATGACAATGGACGTCCACCAGCACAGAAACGTGACGACGGCCGCATCCTCGTCGCCGCCGTCGCGGTACTCGCCGCCAGTGGCCGCCGGCATCGCGCAGCCGGTACAGACGTCGTTGCCCGAGGCCGTGGTCGCGCTGCACCAGAGGCCGCAAAAGCGAAGTTTCGACGTGGCGTTCCTGATGGCGCCGGACGACCTGAGCAAGCGAAGACCGCGGCCACTGCAGGCCACGCAGCCCGTCGCCCGGTCGGCGTTCACCAAGGTGTCGCCGGACCCGCCGTCGTCACTGTCGCCGGCGTCGTCGCCGGCCACGCCGCCGCCCGCGGATTTCACCGCTTACATGCACCACGGACAGCTCCACCACCAGCAACAGCAACAGCTCCTCTCACATCACCAGCCGCAGCAAGAGTGCAGCCTCAGCCCGCCACTGCCGCCGGCCGCGACGCATTTCATGTCACCGTTTCCGCTTGGCTTCCGGTCGCCGTTCGCGCTAATGATGCCGCCCCGGCCGCAGCCCGCCGCGGTCAGCTGCAAAGACTATCAGTCGCCACTTCAACCACCGCCGCTGCACCACCACCATCAGCAACAGCAGCAGCAGCAACAGCAACAGCAGCAGCAACAACAGCAACAGCAGCAGCAGCAACACCACCACCACCACCACCAGCTGCAGTCGCTGCCGTCGCCTTCGCCCCTGCAGTTCGGACAGGCAGCGGCTGCGGCGGCGGCCGTGGCTGCGCTACCAGCCATGCTGTTACCCGCGTCCATCGCCGCGGCCGCGCTCACGTTACCGTCGCAAAACGTGTGCGCCAAGTGCAACGTGAGTTTCCGCATGACGTCCGATCTGGTGTACCACATGCGGTCGCACCACAAGGGAGGCGACGGCAGCAACGGCGGCGGCGCCGGTGGCGGCATCGGCGGCGGCGTTGGGGGAGGCTCAGTGGCGGGCGTCGGTGCAGATGCCAAGAAACGACGGGACATGGACAAGCTCCGGTGTCCGGTGTGCGACGAGAGCTTCCGGGAACGGCACCACTTGACGCGGCACATGACCGCCCACCAGGACAAAGAAGGCGACCGGCTCGACGACGAGGACGACGCGCCGATTCAGCAACAACACCACCAGCCGCTCCAACACCAGCACCAGGGGGCTAAATGACGCAAGTCGGCCGCGGGCGGACGGAGGCGCAACGCCTCGTACTCGCGCTTCGCGGACGACCATCGCGTGTAGACGCACCTCCCCTCATCGCTACTTGTACGACCTCCCCTCTCCCCCATCGAGCACCCGTATCTTCCCTGCAGCCGCGTTGACCGAAGATCATTGTTTGTCCGTCAGCGTACGATACATCATATTGTCGTAATTCAGTATAGGCGCACTGAGTCGCTGCACATGGTGCACAGCGGTATCTTGTTCGAATGGTATGTCGCGTGAACTTTCGTAGTGAGTGCACGAAAAGTCTAAGCCAACCAATAGCCATATACATATATCATTACAGGTCCTCACACGAAGATCTCTCCGGTCAGAAGACTCATGTATGTACAGAGTGTATCACAACGATCTGACAGGTTCAAATGTAATTTTAATGTAAAATTGTCACGTATCCAGGATACATCGTGTATTTATTACGTATAGCTTAACTCGACTAACTCGTGTTTACACGTATTTATGTTTTAATTGATTTATTGGGGGGTTTTTTTACGAATGATTCATAGTCGTATTTTTAATTCAATCAGATTTTTTAAATTACAAAACAAAGTGACATTTTAACGAAGATCAGACCATAGTGCCCTATTATCGACGTTTCAGTATGATAACTTTTATATATTGAAAACATATTATTCATTGACATACCTGTAATCAGAATAAATAGATTCGGGTACCATTAATTTATTGTGGATGTAATACACTATAATATAAGTAGTTGGGTCTTTTTAAATGTACATATACCTCCATATTTCACACATATTTCGTAATGTTATAGTTAATGAGATTTCTTCTATAGAGTAATATTACTCACAATGGTTGTAACGTATATACCTATACACAGTTGTTTTTTTTCACATGCTTTTCATGTTATAGAATCATGTAGCTTTACGCGAATTCGCGTTCATATAGGATTAAAAATTAACTGCGTCCAAGACGGCTATAATTTTCAATTACTTTGCATGGATAATATGTATATTTTTTTTTTTACTCGAATTCGATTTTGGCCGGTCTTGTAGCTTTCTTTTTTTTATGCAGTATATGTGTATGTATATATATATATATACACACACTTTACCCTCTAATGCGAAAACAAGGGTGACCATTAGGGTCGACAAAAATGACAAATGTCCATACAAATCATAGTCGAATACGAGTAATAATTAACCGTGTCCACGAGGGTTAGTTGAGGGGTGGGGAAATTTAATTCTGTAATGGGGTCCGATAAATAGATTAAAATGCCCTTTTGGCCTTAATAAATATTGTCACGTGATCACTGTTTGTATAATTTTAGTATTAAAATTAAATGGACCGAAATCAAATGATAGCGATTTTAAAATTCAATTCTATAACATTACATCTGTAGGGCTACCTATTCACGCACTATATTTTCCCAACGTGGTATTACGTCATGACGTATGTAGTAAACTCGTTAATAATGTATAGATATGTGTGTGTGTGTGTATTATCATTGTTACTAATTTTTTGATAAACTATAAAATATATTCCGTTAGTCTGTATATCATTTAACGTTTCGATAATATTAGGTTCCATATCTTCTGTTCATAAACAATTTATATTAATTAGCTACTATTGAATAAATGGTTCATAATTATTTAAATTAAACTATAACTAAATTAATCGAGTGTGTCAACATAATAGTAATGTTTAAGTGTATTTTCTATTGTATAAATATTATTTAATCTAAATATTGTTACTAAAATTAATCGTTATTTAGCGTTTTACTATTTCTTATTTTGTTTTATGTTATATCGTGTTTCTTATGTATCATATAATATAACCATTAGGTATATAACATAATTTATTATTATACCTTCTTTTGCTATGCATGCATAGAAAGTTAAGTGTCTGAATTGTTATTCGCTAAATTATTATTAGTATTGATTAGAAAAACCTGCTGATAATATTATTTAGAACTATTTAATAAAAATAAATAAAAGTTTCAAAATTTAAATTTGTTATTTTTATGTATACCTATTTATATTTTACATAAATATTGTATCATTGTTTTTAATTATTCTTTTATATTTCCTTTATTTATATGTAAGAACTTACTTGCCTTATTAAGATTATGATAAATACTAAGTAATTTAACATTTCAGGAAATTTTATCCATGAATTATCATTTTTTAATTAGCTACAAGATTAAGTTTAAAAGAACTTTAAATTTAAAAAATATGGAATTTGATCAATATTCACAAAAAGAATTTGAACATTTCAAATGCCTATAGGTAAAAGATGGTTTAAATATTTTGAAAATGTTCATTATGTGTGGAAAATTATATTTGATTAAAGATGGAAAGATTCATAATACTACGAAGTACTATTAATAATTTTTGAATTGCAATTTGTAATAATTTAACAAAAACTATTCAGTGAGAAATTTTATTTTATGTGTCGAATATAATTCAATATTCAATAATGCTTTATTGTTCAAATTAAAACTTCAATCATTCATAACAATAATGCACAATGTCTGTCTTATAGGTATATACTAGTATAATAATCTTTCTAGTTAAACATTTATACGGAATCATATGTTAAATTTTTAAACAAAAGGTATTAAATTAAAAATTCCAAAGCTCAGTGGTTTTTCAAATTTATTTTTTATTATTTTAAACCTAAATATAAAAACATATAGATGAAATTGTCATAATTAATTACCGAATATTTCACTCAAAACTTAATATTCAATCTAATCCTCTTATTTCAAAACTATCATAAAAAATACGTCCGTGAAATTCAAAGAAATGTTTAAATCGAAATTGTCTCAAAGACTAACTTATTTAAATTAAATTAATTTAGTTAAGAGTGTCTAAACTGTGGGTTAAGCCTAAGTTATTTTTTTATTATATTCAAATGCATTGTTGTTATAATAAATGTACTTATTGTACATAAGTCTTTAGTAGTATGTAAATATTTACAAATTAAATTACACTTAAAAAAAAACCAGAAATGTTTTGTCAGGAAGTTTTAAATAGATACTGTAAAACTTTAAAAATTGCCGGTGAAAGTTCCGTCAAGATAAGATTTCCGATGTACAGAGATGCTACACGAAACTCAGAAGAGGTTATTTTATAATAATAAAAAATAAACTTTGTAGAACAAAATATATATTACTCATTTCGCTCAAAATCAAACGTAATGTATTATATTCAATTTACTATTGATAATACTATGAAAGTTTAAAAAAATTGAGTTTTTATAATTTAAAATAATTTTACGTGACACTATAGCTTTAGATAGGTACCTTATTATGATTAGTAAATTATTAATTCGAAACGCCATAATCCATAAAATGCGTTTATATCAATAAATTTTAAAAGTGTGTTATATAATTTTAAATAACAATAGGAGAATATAATCATAATATTATTTTAATAATTACCAATATATTATATTAATATGATATGAATGAATAAAACAATTTAAAACGAGTTAAATATTTATCAACAGACCATATTCGAAACTTTACTATTACTATCATTATACGCGTGCAATGCTGTTCATAATAATATTAGACGAGACGTAATACCCATACAATACAGAAGGTGTCGTACCCTGAAAACTTTTAGCGAAACAACTACTAAATATACGATAAGCTAAAGTTCAACTTGAACATTTGTTCTTTTTATTGCGATCTACCCACTATACAATAATTTATTTTTAAACCATGACAGGTTCAATTTTTTTTTATTCATCTCTGAGCTAAATCGGGTCTCCAGTTGATCATAAAACAACAGTGCGTTATTATTATTACTTTGCGCGAGTTTTTCGCTTTTCCATTGAATGTATAATTTGTTCACGAATACCCGTACAGACGTCTTATAAAAATGCAAAAATCAAAAATCCGTCGTAAAGAAAAAAAAGTATAATATAGAAACTTTGAGTTTTTATTGTCTCGTCTCACTCCAAGGGTTTGAGGAAATATCTTATAGACCGTCGTAAAAAAAGCAAAATAAAAAATAACACGCGCATCCTGCCGTCGCTGTCTATCTGTGGCTGGCGCTCTGCGTCTCACATTTCTGTCTCTACCGCTCACTCCTACTCTCTGTCTATTTTCCTCTCTCTCTCTTATCATACGCCATCCATATTGACCGAGAGCACCGAGAAAGCCCTAACGACTATTACCGCAGATGACCATAAATCACATATATAACCCCCGCGTTCCTTCGCATATTTTTCCGGATAGCGTGAGAGGGGGAAAAGATGAAGAAAAAAAATCGTAAGACTTACACACTCACACGCCCGTGCCCGTACGCAAGCCCCCTTAAGGTTAGTCCTCAGACTACCGAATGTAATATGTGCGCGTGTGTACGCTCGAGCTCGCGCGTATGGCGCGGGGTAGGGAGGTCAATAAAAGTGGAAATCTACAAGACGGAGCCTGGCGGCGCTATTCATGGTGGCCGGAACGGATGACGCCCCGCGCGTTATGTGTGTTATATCCTTCTCCCCTACTCATCTTTTTTCTCCCGCCGCCGTACAATATACAAACAGCCCACCATACCGCTGCCGTCTTAACCTTACCCGGACGCCGCCATTGCAAATAGATATATACACATACTGCACACACATCATATATATATATACGTACATACGTACACGTTTATTATTATTATATGATATAATATATGAATGTGTGTGTGTATTATATATCCTTGTCCGATATAATACACAGCCGCGGTACGGGCTGTACGAGTAGATAACAGCTGGAAATATAAATCCCTACGAGAGGAAAATCATCCCCTACCGCCGCCGCGTCGAGTCGACAAACCGCGAGTGGTTTCTCGCGCACACGCTTTTAAAAGATTTATTAATAATACGATATATCCTCTTAAATATATATATATATATAAGCTTTTGACATAATATATATCCCTTGGCCTCCGTATTCCGATTCTGAATTGTACCGCACGAATAACCGCATCATATTGCTGTAAATTGCCACGGGTTTCAGAATACTAAACTTTACTTACCTAATAATATAATATTACACGTATTATAATGGTATATAGTGTAAAGTTTTTTGTACGCATATTATACGAAACGTTTGTTGTTGAATTTCACGTTTTTACTTTTTTTTATAGTAATAATTGCAACTTGAAAAGTATACTCACGATAGAATAGATTATATAATTTAATTATTTATATGAAAGTGCTCGGGGAGGTTAGTTCCCCCTAGGAATTGTTAAAAGCTCTCCCGAAATTATAATAATGTACATTTTTTTTATGCTATTAATTGGCTCATTTTGTGTAAGAAGATTTAATCAAATCTCGAGTTATGGTTATAATACTTATTGTATCTATAGACATAACTCCCCCTTATTTGTTTGCTTAAATAGCGTGTTAACAAATTGCATGTTTTTGAAAATGGTATGAATATTAGCACTAATAATTAGTCTGTTGAATAATTTTACTAAGAAGAGTTGAAAAATAAAAAAAAAAACAACATAGTTAAATAATAAGAAAATTAGTAGTTTAAGAATTTGCTTGATTGAAATTAGTAATATTTTGTAATTATAAGCATATTGTGTTTATTACGAATTCATGACGTTGCATATAAATACTTATACTTCAACAGCAATAAAATCGATAATTATAGTAGGTATACTATAAATTATTGTAAGAGCACTAGCCTATAACGATATTAACTTAAAATACCTTTGTGCTTAAGATTTGAATCTATCGCAAATATATTACTTTAATTAATATAATTTAAAATTCCTTATTTAATATACATTACCTTTGATTTATTTTCTAATTTTTGTCAATAATTGCATTGTACTGCAGTCTGCAAATAGCAATTAAAATACATAAATATAAAAAATATAATAATTATGTTTAAAAATTAGTATTACATTCTTGAATATAATATATAATTATTACCTAAATTATAAATATAAGTTATAACTCTATGGCTTTTATGGATATAAACAATAATACGTATATGTTAGGTGACAAAATATTGACTACTGATATTAGTATATAACTCTATAAAGATCATGAAAACTATTGATAAATTACAATTTCAGATACCGAGAATGACATTATGTTTCTTCTATACAATATTATATTCTATTATCTGAAATTATAATGTAATAATAACATATTCAATTGTTAACTTACTAATACCAGTTATTTCTCCAAGTTTTTAAATATTCTACATGTTTACTAGTGTACTCAACTAATCCATATAATTTAAAGGTTCTTTACAAGATAAATATAATGTATTTGTCCTCAAAGATACGTCGTAAGCACTATGTAACATATTAGTAAATAATATTCTATATCTTTGCATAATTAAACTTGTATATAGTTAATTTTTCATTTCTATGCTAATTAAAATGTTTTCGTGTTTAAAAAAAAAAAGGTAAATTATAAAAAATATATAAAAAAGGTATTATGTACCATATACCAATGTTGAAATAGAAGCTTGGATTATCTAATGCAGTACACTAATCGGTACACATTTTCATTATTATAAGCTTGGCATTTTTTCTCTTTTTTTTTTTTTTTTAACAATGCGTTGTTTTAATTAGGAACCTAATTTTTAGGTATGGAGTACATTTAGATGCAGGCATGCAGCCGTAAGTAATAATATAATATTTTAGGTTTCCTA